CTCTGAGGAGCAGGGGGCTCCTCTGAGACACTGATTACTGAGCTGATGGTTCATTCCCTCCTCTGTCAGCGCTCAGCGCCAGGTGACTCCCAGGGGACGGGGACACCGCGTACCTGCAGCCCTTGCAAGCCGCATGTCGCTCTGCAGGACCTCACTGTTAATTTCATGTACTACTCAATTTAAAAGTCAAACATTTGCCTTTAACGGAGCAAAATCTATCCTGAAGGTTTGATTTTTTTTTTCCATCTCGCACATCAAAACGGATTTAAATCTATTGATTTTGGTGGGCTTGAGTTTGCTTTTAAATTGGTGTAAGATGAATAATAAATCACTGCAAGTAATGAACTGCTTCATATTATTTCTGTGCGGAGTTACACGGTTTGAACTTTTACACAGGAGCGTTCCCCTGGTCGATTAGTTTGCTTGCAAAGTGTTCAGTAACTTTTTAATGTAAAACAGTTTACAGAAATGGAAGGTTTGACATTGTCGGCACTGGAAAGAAAATACAACTGGAGTTTCTGACCACCTCAGAGTGACAGTGGATCTGATTACAGAAATGCTGAAGAGAACATCAAAAAATGCTCAAGTTTGCTACATCTGAAATGACATAAGAAGAAAGCCCCAGAATACTTTAGAATACTTTCTGGCTATTAAGAGCAGAGAAACTGCATCTTTCTTTACACAAAAAAAATACAGAAATTTCCACCGAGCCAGTCTCTTTGAAGTTACATGAAAGTTATTAACGTATTCTTTGTGGCTGAGAGCCACAAGGAACAAATAGCTGAAAACACTGTCATCTCCTGTTAAAAAGGCTAGATTCCGTCCCTAAGGAGGGCAATTTACATGCAGTCGGGCCAGGATGATTTGCTTTTAAAAAAACAGAGCATAACCAAAACCCAACCAACCAAACACAAGAACAGCAATAACCTTACGCTGGAAAAAGATGTGAGTCCCTACGCTAATAGGTGTAGAGTATCATAAAGAGAGAAAAAAAAAAGCCGTGCAAGAATGGCAATGCTAAATGCCATCAAAATAATAATAAATACAACCCAGGGATCCTCTCTGACTTGAAAATGTCGCTGTATACAGCTTCTCCTGCAGAGGAACAGCACCAAGAATGTGTATTTCTTGCAGCAAAGGGTATCTTTATATTCTAGCTGTGTGGAGCTGACTCGCAAGCCGTCAGTTTTGAGGAGAATCAGTGTGTGAGGGAAGTGAGTGACACCCCTGCTACGTTTTGCTGTCCTTGGTGCTCATGTTTCCAAATTGTAAAAACAACCGTAAACGTAATGCCTGACAAATACTTATTCCACAATGAGATGGCACAATTTTTATTATTTAACGGACAAAATGATTTTGTTATTAAGCGGCAAAAAAATCTGAAAGATTTGGTGGCACAGGAAGGAAAGCTTTAGAGGGAATTTTGAAAGAAAATAAAAGCCTGGAGGGGAATGAAACTGGGATAAAGTACAAAAGGGACGAGCAAAAGTAGAAACAGATCACTCTGGCACTGGCTTCCGTTGCCAACTGTCAAGATAGACCATATGCAGTAGACATGAACTTCATTAAGACACTCAATGTGGCGTGGAGTATGGAGTGAGTACAACTACAAAAGCGACTGAGGTATCGGGTAAAGAGAAGTTTAAGTCGTTCACAAGAATTTCTGTAGTATAGCAGGACCAGGCTGGCTGCAAATGACTGAGGAGATGATAGACCAGTGCAGAAGTTTTTCAGATGAGGTCCACGAGCTCTCAGTGCGTGGCTGTGAGGAGAAACATGGCCAGTGCTGGCTGTTCCCACGTCAGGTGGAACAAGTTCCAGCTCGACTGGTCTGGGACGCTGGGCAGCTCTAGACGGGCTGGTATCAGGGCAAGAAGCCCAAAGAGTTTGGCGTAAAGGTTATGCCTGAGGAGTTGTGGCCAGACATTTGGTGCATATTAGACCACAGGAACCAAACGTCTTAAAAGACTTCACAGTAATCTTCCATCCTTACAACTGAAACAATGGTCAAAAAAGTAAAGGTTAAGATTCTGTAATGCAAAATTCTGAAACCCGAGCTGGAGGCTTGTCTTTCAGGCCACATTAGATCGCATGTGGCATCTGGCTGTGACTATATACGTGAAACGCCAAGTAGCTGTATTGTGCGCGTGGAGTGCCAATGGCAGAAAGAGGTTGCAGTATTTCAGTGTGTGGGATACCAGCAGCACAGTGAAGAAGTGTGGGAGAGGAGCCAACTTCCATCACCTGTGTGAAACTTGACAAGTCCAGGAACGTCTTTTAGGTGAGGTATTTCCAACTGAAAGGAGAAGATATTAATTCCTGCGTAGAGGGTAGTAAGGAACTTGACGTGGACCACAGTGTGCAATTCTAGGTGCACATATTCAAGAAACATGAACCAAATTCAGAACAGGTGCGGGGCAGGCAGATGAGCACGACCAGCGAATTGAGAGCCGGTCTTGAGAGGAGAAGAGTAAAAAATCTTGTCTTTTTCTGCCGAGCAAAACAAAGATAGAGACTGGATGTAATTCCTTCTATAAATATATACACAGGAAAGGGAGAGGAAGAAGAAGTATTTAAACTAAATGGCAACATCAGCACAGAACATACGGATATCAGTTGGCCAGGCGGCTGGAAATTAGCAGAGGTTTCTAAGTAGAACAGCTCTGGAACAGTTATTCAGTAGGAACAGCGAGGTGTTGTACGATTTAGTTGACTGCAGTAGCGAGGGAAACTAGGCTCAAACATCAGGAGCTCCCTTCCAGTCTTCTCTTCCGTATTTATCACCTCCACTGACCGATGCTAAATGCTCAGCTGGAGCGTACAGAACGGTAACTCTTCCCTACCTCCTTTTCCCAGAGGAAATACTGCAAATGCTAGAGATGAAGTAGAGTAAATGTCTGCTCTGTTTGCCACCACGAATGCTTACAAGGTGCTGGAGTCTGGAATGTGTTCTAGACGATTTCTATACACGCACATACGTAAACGCATACACGTATGTGTATATGCATGAGTAGATGCTTGTGTATATGCATACACGCACACATATAGAGCCCACGTATGCACGTTTGAAATGGGCTGTACACGCTGCTATATTTTTATTTCTCAGGAGTTCATTTGAGTATTCCAGTACTTTCTTTTCATCCTTATACCAGAGTAACGGATCGTATGAGTACCTTTCTGCATTGTGACCACTGCATACACAACGTGTCTGTGTGATCTCATATGTATCATGGCATCTCAACTGAGCCACAGTGTAAGAGAAGGAACGCGTCACTTCAAAACGCTGAATTTCTGTCACTCGCTCTCTCGGTAGCAATCACACGGATGCATTTACCGGGAGGAGAGCACAAGCAGCGGCTGGTGCAGTTCCTCCTGTCTGAAGCTGCAACCTGGTGTGTTCTGCTGGAGTCGTGCGTGTGTGTGCAGGCATGTACGCGCATATATATGCCTCGTACTAACACAGCCGCATGTGCCTCAGGCTGGTCTGTGAGCTTACACATTTCAAATTGTTTTTCCTAAGGACATGGTGTCACATGCCTGGAGCTCCAGGACGTGTGTTACAGAAAAAGTCAAGCCTGGTGCACGGCCTGTGCACGGGGAAGGGGTTATGGGCGCCAGGCACTGTCTGTTCGCCTGTCGCACCAGGGAAACGGGCACGTAAATCTGTCCCTGTGGCACAGCTCCACGCGCCTCGCTTGTTTATTTGTCTCGCAGTGACAGTCCTGTGTTTTTTCAGGTCGGTGGGTGTGTGTATGTGCGGGTGTGCATGTGTGCCTCGCCAACATGGTCTCGGGTGTCTCAGGCCACCAGGACAGGGTATGTCTGTGCCTGTCAATGGGTATGTGCCAGTTCAGTAACAACAGTTGTATGTATTTTAGGCTAGCGTCTGTGTCTGTCAAACTCAAAGTGCGCCTGCCCATGTTTCTCGGGCCAGCGGGTGGATGTTTGTGTCTCATGACCTGTGTGTCATGGAGTAGCTTGTGTGCCTGTCCTTCTCCCACTGTTACGCACCACAGGGTACTCTGAGGCTACCTGCACACGTGTCAAGCTACTCTGCGTGTGCAATTCTCTGGGTATCTGACAGCAACAGTCCCAAATGCCTCAGAGCAACATCTGTCTTTCAGTGACTGTGGGCCGTGTTCCTCAGGCCAGCGTCTGTCTGTCTGTCTGTCTGGCAGTGACACAGGCTCATGCGCCTCGGGACTGTGTGTGCGTCTCACAGTGACACAGCCCCTGTGCCTAAGACCCAGAGACAGACTCAGGGTCTGTCTTGCTGTGACACCGTCACACACACCTCCACGGTGCTTGTGCATCTCACAGTGACAGTCACACACCCGAGGACGGCACATGTCCGTACGTCCCCGTGACACGGCCCCACAGGCCTCACACTGCCGTGACAGCCACGCGCCCCAGACCCATGCGTTGCGTCTCTCCATCACGCAGCCGGGCACCTCAGACCCGTGTCAGAGTGACACAGCTGCACGCCTCAGACCAGCGCGTGATCGTGCCTCACAGTGACACAGCCCCGCGTGACCCAGCCCAACATCTGTCTGTCTGTCTGTCTGTGCCACAGGCCTGGCTGCCTCAGGGAAGCGTGTCTGAGGGTGGCACATACCCACGTCCCTCTGAGGTGCCCCGGTCACACGCGTGCCTCAGGACTGTGTGTGCCTCACAGCGCCACAGCCCCAGTGCCTCGGAGTGTGCGTGTGAGGAGGCTGCGTGTGTGTGTGTGTGCACGCGTGTAAGGAGACTGTGAGGAGACTGTGAGGGGACGGACTGGGTGTGAGGAGCCTGCGCGCGCGTGTGTGTGTGCGTGTGTGTGTGTGTGAGAGAGGAAACTGCGCGCGCGTGTGTGTGTGAGGGGACGGTGAGGAGACCGCCCGCGTGTGCGCGTGTG